CGTAGTGACCGCCATCGCTTCTTGCAAAATTCGACTGCAAAGAATCAGATACTAGTCAGAATTTCCCCTCGAAAAACTAGCATAAACAAGAACCAATTTACGAATGAATGATACTCAAAAAACTTACCAGGGAGGTTGAGCTGCTGCGCAATGGCCTTCCATGCCGAATCTTTCTTAGCTCTGTCGCTATATTCAGGAATGGAGACTTTCCACAACTCTGGAAAGTTTGTAACAGCGACAATGAGACTGTCCACAGCCTGGTCCTCCATGTTTAAATGACCGGTTCCTGGCTCACAATGGGGAAAATATACGCTGTGTAGTGGCGTGATTACGTCAGTGGTGTGCGTGCTCTCTGATTGGTCGCTGCACGAACATCGCGAGGAAAAGTTGAGCGGGATCCATCTCCTGTGGGCGTTCATTGTCCGCTCCGTCTCCTCCCCTTTGACTTTCCCGCCAAGTCCGTGCGTTTCTACTGGGCGGTCCGTGCGTGTGTGCCGAGAGGTCCGTGCAATGCGACGCTGAAACGCGACTCCCCATTGACTTTGCATTGAACGCAGACGCAACGACTGTCCCGGTCTGAAAGCACCATAAGAGCTCGGTTTAAATGTCTGGATTTATAAAGAGCCTCCAGAACAGGAAGCTCACAGCAAGAAGATATCATACATTTTAATATTCTAAGAAACTGGTGACGCTGAGTAATTGACACCTTTCCTTTTGATCAACGGAGGATGATACAATAAAATCTAATCATTTAAATTTCAGAATAAATCCAGCAGAAAAATTACACTCCGTCAAATAGAGGCGAATAAAGTGCTGTGAGAATGTGCTGTAGATCAATAAAGATTTCCTGGATATTGGATTCCTTAATTTATAAAAGCATTGAATAATACAGCGTCCCTTTGTGCGTCTTTTCCAATCAAGTATGAGCGAACGGAGAGTAACACGTCGGCCCTAATGTCATGTAACGTTATCAGCGCTGGGCCTGGACAATGGAGGCATTGTGTGGTGTGGTGAGCAGCCTTATCGCCCAAAGACAGGGGCCAAAATGAAAGGAGAAAAGTACATTTGATCTTTATTCAGTCAAAAAGAAGATTTCCTAAAATAGTCGTTCCTCATCGTGTGGGATTAAGAAACTTTAATGATTTTGAATGACTCTCAAATATCACTGCAGAATGGAAACGCAGAGATAAAGGCTGGCTGTTGTAGTGCGGGAAGTTATGAGGCTGGTCCAGGCAGAGGTACTATGAGGGGCTAAATTAAAGTCACAAAAATATAAAAAATTAAAACAGCATCAAAATATTAAATCAATGCCAATTAAGCTGTGTCAATAAATACCAAATTTGGTCTCTTGACAATTACTACAAAAAGTGTTCTCTTTGTCATCAAGTAAATACTCAAAACACCATCAAATTATCATTCCAATACCATAGCTGCGGCGATAGATACTGAAAATCGGTTAAATACAATAAAAAGTGTTCCCTTTGTCATTAGAGAGTATGGAGAGTAGATTTGATAAGAGAAAGAATGTTTGTTCTTTCTGAGCAGGTTTCCTCCATGTGCTTCGGTTTCCCCCCCTACAAAAAAAACGTGTCAAACAAACAAGTCAAATCCTCCAGCTCTGATAATCCTGACCCAGCCGAGCATCAACGTCTGCAGCATGGGTCAAATGCAGAGGACACAACCTGCATGTATGCTGCCTCCACAACCTGGCACCAGATTAAGCGGAAGCAGATATAAAGAATGGATGTAGTTATATACTTTTTGTCCAGTGGGTTGTACTTACGTATCCTTGACAGCCACGTCAACCCTTTGAACGACTGGATTCTTCAGAAATATAATGTGAAACAGACAAAACGTGCAGCCCTGAAACTTTTAAAGAGATAGGAGACTACTTAAATCAATTAATACATGAAAAAGGAACGAGAAGAATGTAGAGAAACGTTTGTGAGAAGCCAGGTCTCTGTATAAAAAGAATGGAAGCACATGAGGCAGTAAACCGTGAACGTATATGAAACCCAAAATGCAGACGAGGGATTTCAAAAGTTGGTTCTTCATTGAGACTGAAAACTGTACATTGTTCGGTCTCTCGCTCTCGGCCTTGAGTGTTTGACGCAGATGAATGGGCTGTTTGAGCGCGGACTGGAGATTTTGTTTAGCACCACCCCCAACTCGCTCACAGGCTTCTCCTTTTGAAAACCCCCCTTCTCTCCCCTATACGCTCTCCTCCCACGAGCCATGTAGTTTTAGTAGTGATCTGATACGTATGAAAACATTAGCATGAGCGCAACTTCTTGTAAGAACAACAATCACTGATGAAATGGTACAAAAGAAACGCACTGCTAACAAAATATACAGTACAATTACTTAAAAATGACCGCCAGTTTTGCATCTGCGGCAGTCCCGCACCCGCAGGTCTCTCGAGCGAGGATACGATGTAGCTATGTTTACCCGGGCTTGATTTCGTCTTTGATTATTTGTTTGCTTTAGTTCTCTCTTCTCCTCCTCACTTTTCAGTCACTAGGGCTGTTTAGCTGTCTTTGCAGTTACAGCTAGAGGAGTTATAGCCATTTCTGCTAACATGATACTATGTGTAGATGCGCTGCTGCAGGCTGTTCGAAACAGCGCTGCTCCTCGTTCTGTGATTGAAGGAGAGCTAGCGTCATGCAAAGTTTCTACTCAGCACTTTTTATGGCCTGAATTCATACAAAAGCTGAATATATTAGCTCAATTTTGCAATTCAATTTTGGATTATAATACAACTTGCATGTAGTAAAATGCATTTTTATGAACTCATTAGAAAATAAATCAGGTATAGTTTCTGTAAAGCTCCTCGTAGTAGAACAGGAAAATAAAAAAAGTCTTCAAGTATTTGATTCCAATTATTATTGTTTAGCCCTGAATCACAGCAGTAAAGGGAATCTAACAGTTTGAACACAGGAAATGCAATAAAAAAACAAATGTGAAACATTGGTCCATAAGGAGCGCTGTCCACAAGTGTCCCATTTCATCACTGTACTCCTGCATTGCCAAGAAAAAAACTAAAACAAAATATTTGGACAAGATGGTCTTTGAGTTTTATATAGTTCCACAGTTATATAGCTTTCGTTTTTTTTAACTTTTCACAGCATTGTTTTGGAGTGTAATGAATGTCTTTATTTCTTTTCATTTCGCGATCAAACCCCTTCTGAATTTCTTCAAGGACGTAGAGGTGTATGCTCGGCTAATGCTGCTGGATTTTTAAAATGCCGGTTGTTTTGGTGCTTTCTGCTGGCGTCAGAGCCTAGCTTTAGCCAATCTGCGCCGGGGGAACCTCAGGCCGCAACCAGGAACTATTCAGGGCCGAATGGAGAACCTACTCTAGTAGGCACTTTGTTGGCCCTCTTAACTCTGTTATGTTTCTGTAAATGGCCCTGTGGGGGAGGGCCCTGCAGTGGGGACACACACCAACAGAGCTGGCCCTGTAAAATTACCCTAAGGTTCCTTCGGTGGAAAAAGGACTTATAGAGAGGGATCTGCTCCCTCAGACAGAGAGGCTGTAGATCCAGGACTGAGGCTGTAGACCCAGGACTGAGGCTGTAGATCCAGGACTGAGGCTGTAGATCCAGGACTGAGGCTGTAGACCCAGGACTGAGGCTGTAGACCCAGGACTGAGGCTGTAGACCCAGGACTGAGGCTGTAGACCCAGGACTGAGGCTGTAGACCCAGGACTGAGGCTGTAGACCCAGGACTGAGGCTGTAGACCCAGGACTGAGGCTGTAGATCCAGGACTGAGGCTGTAGACCCAGGACTGAGGCTGTAGACCCAGGACTGAGGCTGTAGATCCAGGACTCGGCTGTGTGATGCATGTATTTAATATGTATCTTTTCAAAAGACAAAACATTTTCTCAGATGAACCCATCATTTTGATATCTGATTTGTTCACAACACTCTACTTTTACAGGACTCTTTCTGTCGGGACAAACTAAAACGTTTCCACAGCAGTCAGTGACCATGGGTTAATCTGTCTGTCTTCATGGACCAATTTCAGTTTTAATGTAATGAATTTTCTGGTCTGATGTTAGCAAACTATCCCATGTGTGAAGTCTATATCATGTATTACTTTATTGAATTTTATGAAACTTTGTTTCACTTGGTGTAAAGGAGGCAGAGTGGAAATTTGGCAGAATTTGAATGTGAAGGTTTTTAGTCAATAGAGACATTTCATATGAACATAGTAAGATATTCTTCTGTGTTAAAGATTTCCACTGTAGAATGCAACAGATATAAACATGTTCCTTCTTCTTATAAAACTTTACACGAGCAACAGAAGCTTATAGAAACAATATGTAAGTAAGTAAGTAAGTAATCTTTATTTATATACCGCCTTTCACAGACCAGAGTCACAAAGCGGTTTACAATTGTTATTTTTTGGGCACTTGTCCTCTCACTCCACACAGAGATGGGAGCGGGGTCGCCGAACAGGAGGCGCATGCCAGATCTATTGTACATATTTTTAGTAGTAGGGGAAACCGGAGTACCCGGAGGAAACCTACGCAGACACGGGGAGAACATGTAAACTCAGAAAGGCCCTGGTCCGGCCGGGATTTGAACCCCGGACCTTCTTGCTGAGAGGCGAGAGTGCTATCCACTCAGCCACCGTGCCGCCATATGTTGCAAATGAAATGAAAGGCAGCTTGTACGAGGGCTTAGCTTCTTTGTAGCTTTTGGGAACAATCATGTTTGAGTTCTGCGTTTCAATTCCGGTGCGACGAGGATCAGAGAGCACACGATTGTTGTGCCTGTGATATTTGCATGTAGCTTCACTTTTAATTAATTCTTGTGTCTTTGTTGAAAAGGCGAGCGGTGCAGAATGGCAGCATACGGCGCAATTCGTGCTGCAAATCCTCAAGAATCCACTGGATTATTGCAAATGTGGCTGAGTTTGATGATCATAAGGTTTTCAATGATGGCTTCTAATAGCCACAGCTGCCCTGAATGTCAAAAAATGCGCTGTATAAAATTCATGCATTATTATAGTCCAGACCACAGTCCAGACCCCAGTCCAGACTACAGTCCACACCACTGTCTGGACCACAGTCTGGACCACACTCCAGACCGTAGTCCAGACTGTAGTCCAGACTGTAGTCCAGACTGTAGTCCAGACTGTAGTCCAGACTGTAGTCCAGACTGTAGTCCAGACTGTAGTCCAGACTGTAGTCCAGACTGTAGTCCAGACTGGGCCAAAGCTTGTGTGGACCCAGCGGTCACTGGCCTCATCACAGCAGCAGATGTCCAGAGTTATGATGAAATGTCCTCTTTGCGTTTTACGAGAGCACATTAGCATCATTACACACAGTTACACGATGTCTCCTCGGAACATTCAGTTATTACAAAATAATGTGTTTTTTGAAAATCCCATTAGTTATAGACTTTAAGTGCATGGAGAAGTCCATAACATTATTCTACTGGTACTAATTATACATTAAGCATTGTTCTGCGAAATGACAGAAACTTATACACACTGTACTTACAATGTAAAGCATTAATATAAAAGTCCTTTTAAATGTGAATGCCTGATCTGTCAGAGCTAAGCAGGGCAGGGCTTGGTTAATACTGTAATGTAATCTGTCAAAAGGCATTAATAAACCATGCTCTTTTCGAATATTTCATTAACTGATAACAGTCGTTCAACTGAGATATTTGAATTTCAAAATTAGTTTTACAGCCCCTAAATCTTGTTATTGTTTTCATTTCGATGTCCCGCCCTCCACCGTTTTATCAATCAGAAAGTCTGTCATCCCGGTTGCCCGATCTCGCTGCATTGAGCTAATCTCACTGGTAAAGTACCATGTGACCGCAGAACTAAAAAAGGTCTCATTATGATTCTCAAATTATTCATGACAAAACGAGGATTTCTATCGGAACCTTTGTTAAAAAGGTGTTGGTTATAGATCTGTTGTTGAAAAAACTTTTTTCTATTCAGATATTATGTTCCTGGCTGTATTCGTCTGCATATCTGGCAACCTGAGTCCGGGAGAGTGGGAGAGGTTACAGTACCACTTTTGGCCAGATTTGTACATACTGCTCCTTTAAGACAAGGGAATTTAAGTGTAAAGCACTTTGTGTGCTTCTTTGTGTAATACAGAAAATTGTTTAATCCATGGCTTTAGTAAAATGTGAAAGATTTAAAGTTCATTTCTTTGATCAGAGTTTTCCATCCTCTTTCCTGCAGCCTTTGGTCTAAAAGGTTCACGCGTGTATTACTGTCAGAAATCAGCCATTGTGTCTTTTGCCTCCTGCGTTTCTCCGCTGATTACAAGGCCCCATTAAGTCCCTCCCTCCTCCAATCGCAGCGTGGCGTCACCAGGCTCTAATCAATCTCTCGTCCAATCAGAGTGCAGCGTGTGGGTGACTGACTCTGTGGGGTTTTGATGACTTCTGTAAAAGGGAACCAGGCCAGGATGCTCTATAACAGGCCGTGTGCAAGGCTGGAAACAGGTTTGGGATGTTTTAAGTTTTAAAAATGCATGAATCAAGTAAAAACGTGCTGTGAGATTCTAAAACAATGGTTGTCAACTGGACAAGTACAAATAAGCACTGAACTTTTATACTGTATATTTTCTCAAGTGATTTTATAAGCATTGAATTATACTGCAAAGCGAAAAGGAATGAACACATTTTCTGCTCATAAATCCAGTAAAACTCTACCTGAGATGTTGCTGCAGTACAGTCTTCATTGTTTTACACTTGTCCAGACCGAGCAGAGAGGATTCATGGTCCAAACCAAGTGGATCAGGAGAAAATCCACTGGAGGAAGGCTAACTTAATTTTTAAAAAAAGTGCCAATGAAGTATTTACCATTTTACTTTGGACCAGAGCAGTGAAAATGGTCCAAACCAAGCGGCTTCACCATCTCTGCTGCCGTGACCTGAATGGCTGTTGGCATCTGCTGTGGTCAAATGCAGAAGACACATTTCTTTATATTCTTGCTAAAAAAGGATCATCTATTAAAACTCATAACAGTACAATCTTCACAAAATGTTTCGAAAGAGACATTTTAACAGTTTTGGTCAGCGTTGCACTGTAATGGGTCAGAATGTCCACATTAGTGACATAACACACCATTACTTTTGCAATTATTGGACAAGACCCACTGTTTTTTTTCTCTCCCAAATTTAACCATTATGTAACCTATGTTATAATCTTGAAATCTCTAATGGGTTAGTTCACAGAAGTCCAAATTCGTTTAGGAGCTTGAGGGTGGTATGAATGACACACAGAGACAATGAAGTTTAAATGCAAAAGGAAAAAATGTATTAAAGGTTTAGATCAATAAGGGAAAAGTATGAAGTTGAACTCAAAATGTATATTTACCACACAAAAAAAAACAAAAATAGCAAAAAGTATTCAAAAAACTAATAACAATACTCAAAATAAGTCTTTGATTTTAAAGCTCAATGCTTTCAGTTTTTTATCCGTTTTTAGGAAAGAGTTCAGTCTTTAATCCATTGTTTGGTTTTTAATCCGTGCGAATAGTTTTAATCCATTGTTGAATTCGGGGAAATATTAGGGTTTTAGAGTCTTAATCCATAGTCCAAGGATTTCGAAAAGAGAAAAATATCAAAGTCTATCCTACCAGCTCGCCATCAGTTCACTCAGTTCATGGGATAGTCAGTGAAGAGTCAGTCCAGAGAGGATCAGTCCATGATCCAGGGATGAACAAAAAACCTGGCCTGAAAACGAGGTCATAATCAAATTCAGTTACCGGTAACATATCAAAACACAAAGCAGTACCAAAAAAACGGCACCTAAATCACATCTTTCAAAGTTGTACAGTCAATAGTTCAAAATCAAATAGCTATAGCTCATCAAATTAACAGCTGCGCTAGCATGGGCTTTAACCATGACAATGTGCTGCTAACTCAAAACAAAGTCACTTTAAAACAAAACTCAAACTCTAAAGTATAATCCGTGCCTACCGAATTCAAGGCAACATATAAATATTAATTAATCAAAGGTAGTTCAATCAAAAATGGTTCTCATTATGAGGTAATAATAACTACAAAACAAAATCACCCGCTTTTACGGCGGAGTTCCGTACGACGGCAAACCATAGCGGCTAACCACACTACATCCGCATTTTAAACGGTCAAAAGCACAGATTCGAACAGCAAGTTGCACAAATATTATAGAAAACACTTTGGCAAAACTCACCGATGAATCAGAATGTCTAGGAGTGGTCTGATTAGGGAAAACAACGTCAGGTTGTAGCCACTTTGTTTGTAGCCTAGCGCCAGCTGCCACAGCACACAGTGAGAGTGGAGGAGGGGGCGGAGCAGACAGTTACCTGGGCAACCGGGACGTTTAACTTCCTGATGTTGTGCTTAGGGCCAATCAGCAAAAAGGGCTAATATAATACGTACAATAATGATAAAAATATGGATAAATGATGGGGGAATTACATTGTGGATGTTACATGTTCCCCTCCTGATCCAATGTACGTCCCCGGACATTGACCGGGTTGGCGGTGAACAGCTGGTGGGTGACGAACCTCAGTTGCAGGGTCACTGGCATCCTCCAGATCATAACTAAAGGCCGTACTTAGCCCATGGAAAAATGTCTGTAGGTTCTTAAGGAGAGGACGCCCCAGCCCGGTATATTGCAGTCGGTCTGGGGGTTTCCTGATTCTGGATGGCCGCCCCTGTGGTAGATCAGAATCAGGACTTGACTGTATGTCTTGTTCCATAGATGAAGATCCGGTTGTTGATTCCTCGCCAACAGAATCAGTTTCGCCTGAGAGATCAGTCAACACTTCTTGTGTGGAAGGGACAGGCGATCCAGGGGAGTCTGCTGTTGGCACTTGGGGTTCTAGTTGGGGCAACGGACTGAGAGCAGGCTCCTGACTGGGCTGTGTGGCAGGCCCAAGCGCTTCAACAGGAGCAGGGGCCTTTGGCATGTCGACCACTGTGGTGAATGTTCGCAGTCCACCAGGATGATACCAGTGTGTTGGTATGATTTCATCCTCTGAAGTGACCTCTGGGTCATTAGATGGAGGGTCTGACAGTTTGGAAGGTTTAAGCCTCGTTGGTGTAGTGGGCAAAGGCTTGTAGGCAGCTGACAGGTAACCACACGGCAAGAGCAGGTCACGATGGAGCGTGCGGAGTGGCCGATCTCTGTGTTCTGGCCGCACTGTATATACGGGAAGAGAGCCTGCTCGTTTAACAACAATGTAGAGATCAGACTCCCACCTGTCAGCCAACTTATGCTTTCCCCGGAGCTTAACGTTCCTGACCAGTACTCGGTCACCGACTTGTAAATCGGACGCTGTAACATGTTTGTCAAATCGTGTTTTATTTCTATCCATCACTTTTTCAGAGTTCTCAATGGCTATGCGATAACTTCGTCCAAGATTTTCTTTAAGCTTTTGCACGTACTGGGAATGAGTTGGTTTATCACTGCTAACTGGTAACCCAAACACCAAATCAATTGGGAGCCTTGGCTGCCTCCCAAACATTAGCTCATAAGGGCTGAAACCAGTCACATCATTACGAGTACAGTTATAAGCATGAACGAGAGGTTTCACAAAGTCTTTCCAGTGCATTTTATTTTCCGTGGTCAACGTTCCAAGCATGTTTAACAGTGTGCGATTAAAGCGTTCGACGGGGTTTCCGCGGGGGTGATAAGGAGTTGTGCGCACCTTGTGAATGCCGACCATGTTACACAGCTCTTTTATGGTTCTGGACTCAAAATCGGGCCCTTGATCGCTGTGCAATTTTTCTGGAAGGCCATAATGAACAAAGAAATTGTCCCACAAAGCTTTGGCAACAGTTTTTGCTTTTTGATTTGGTGTTGGGACGGCCACTGCATATTTTGTGAAATGGTCAGTTATAACTAGAACGTCTTTGGTTCGGGTGTGGCCGGGTTCGATTGAAAGAAAGTCCATGCAGACCAACTCGAGGGGTCTAGATGTTTTTATGTTCATGAGTGGTGCAGCCTTTATCTGGCAGGGCTTTCCTCTTGATGCAGCGCTCACAGGTTTTGATTTTGTTGGTCACATCAATGGCCATCTTCGGCCAATAAAATCTGCTTCGAATCAAATCGATTGTCCTGTCGGTGCCCAGATGACCCATCTCATCATGTAGCTCTGCTAGAACTGCGGCACGGCATTCCTGTGGCAACACGAGCTGATGTTGCAGCTGACCATCAACATGTCTCTTCCGTACCAGAATGTGATTTTGAAGCTCCATCTTGGGGATTTCACGAAGAAGGAGTGGCAGCTCAGGGAGTTCTTCCTTAACAGAGGATGGTGATGTACTCCCGGTCTCTAGCTGTGCGATAATGTGTCTCAATGTGGGATCAGCTCTCTGTTTCTCAGCAACTTCTGCAGCAGTCAACTGAGGAATAAGCGACACAAATTGAGAGTCATTGGCATAGCTATCTGGAAGACTGCCAACATGCACAGAGAGTGAGTGGATTAAAGCTGCATCAGATGTCTGGCCAGGTGAGCTATAGACAAGCTGCCTGTTGCAGATGGCTTCAACAATGTGTTGATCAATTGTTATGGGGTGCGGGTCAGGTAAATGTTGTTGAGCAAACTTGAGTATGCGCTCCCTTTCTTTTTGGGACCGGGGATCATCGGGAACTTGTGCTTGTGGCCGGCGTGACAGTCCATCTGCATCAGAGTTCTGTTTTCCAGCACGGTAAGTTATCTTAAAGGAAAAGGTTGATAATGCAGAGAGCCAGCGGTAACTGGTAGCATCAAGTTTTGCAGAGGTGAGAAGGTAAGTAAGAGGGTTACTATCTGTCACAACGGTAAAGTCTGTCCCATAAAGATAGTCACTCAGTTTTTCTGTAACTGCCCATTTAAGAGCAAGGAACTCAAGTTTATGCGCTGGGTAATTAGATTCACAGCGAGAGAGTCCCCGGCTGGCATAGGCAATTACCCTGTTTTGGCCATCTTGCTCCTGATACAGCACAGCACCCAATCCAGTGGTGCTGGCATCTGTGTGTAGCAGGTAGGGTTTGGACGGGTCTGCAAAACCAAGGATTGGAGCTGAGGTGAGTTTGGCAATAACGTCTTCAAAAGCCTTTTGACAGGTCGGCGTCCATCTCTCACCGAAAGATTCACGAGGATTCAGATAAGAGTCTGTCCGCTTATGCGATTTACGATTCCTCTGGGTAGGTGGATATCCGGACGTCAGTTCATTCAATGGTCGCACAATAGTGGAGTAGCCATGGACAAACCGTCTGTAGTACCCAGCAAAACCCAAGAAGGATCTCAATTCCTTCAGGTTTTTCGGAACCGGCCAGGTCTTGAGAGCTGCGACCTTCTCTGGATCTGTCTGTACACCGTGTCGTGACACCACATGCCCCAGGTATTTGACAGACGTTTGGCAGAAAACACACTTCTCAACGGAGAGTTTCAATCCGAATTCTTTCAGTCTGGTGAGAACTTTCATTAATCTCTCCTCATGTTTCTTCCAACGTGGGGGCAAAAACAATGAGATCGTCAATAAACACCAAGACTTCTTTAAAGTTCATTTCACCCATGCATTTCTCCATTAGTCTCTGAAATGTACTAGGGGCATTTGTCACTCCCTGGGGCATGCGATTAAATTCCCAGAAGCCTAAAGGACAAACAAACGCCGTTTTGCACTTATCAGCTTCGTCCATTTCTATTTGATAATAGCCAGATTTCAAGTCAAGTACAGAAAACCATTGTGATCCAGACAGTGCTGTGAATGCATCATCTGGTTTGGGCAGGGCATAAGCATCTTTGATAGTTTGAATATTTAATTTTCGGTAATCAATGCAAAGCCTTACACTGCCGTTCTTTTTCCGGACTACAACGATTGGTGAAGCGAAAGGAGAATTTGACTCTCTAATCACACCAGAACCGAGCAGTTCCTGAAGATGCTGGCGTACAGCATCTAGATCGGAAGGATGAATTGGCCGTGGTCTTTGTTTAAATGGTGTGGGATCTGATAACTTAATCTGATGCTTGACTTTATCCGTGCATCCAAAATCGAGGTCAGTTTGAGCAAAGACTTCTGGGATGGTGTTCAGCATTTCAATAGTCCGTGTTTTCCACTCTGGCGGCAGGGGTGAATTCCCAAAGTTGTAGTTGAAGACGGGTGTGGCAGTGTGAGGAGGGGTAACTGGGACAGCATTTGGATCTTTAGGAACAACAGACTGTATGGCACTCAATTCCGCAACAGAAGCACGTGGGGAAAGGGTGATGTCCTGCTCAGACTCATTGCAGACTATCACAGGGAAATGGTAGGGTGCATGACTAGGCACATCGACAAGACATGACCGCACCATCAGACCACCAGGAACTGTAAAAGTCAGCGGGTGCTCAACAATTATGGATCTGTCATGTTGTGGGAAGCGACAGCTTGCAGCACCATGTAAGACAACAGTCTGTCCAGCTGGTACTGTTTGGGAAGTGCTGGACACAAGCTTAAGAACAGCATGGTGGTTCAAATGTGTCCATTTGTGTCTCTGTTGAAGAATGTTAATCACTGCTTTGTACCCATAAGGAATGGGACGGTAAGATGGACTGTACTCAAGATGTTCTTCGTAGACTCTGTCTAGAGTGTTCGTTCCGATAAGAACCAATGGGTAGGAGGTCTTCATGTCAGGTACCACAAGAGCAAGCGTTTGAACGTCAACAGCTGAACCCAAAAAATCCTCTGGAAATGTCAACAGGAGCTCCACATACCCAAGATAGGGTACGCTCTGTCCGTTTGCTCCCTCGATCTCCAGGATGTTGTTTAGGGGTTTCAGCTCATGCTCTGACAGATAAGCACTGTAGATGGCTTGTGGTATGGTGGTTACCTGAGACCCCGTGTCCATTAAACAGTTGAGAACATGTCCGTTGATCGCAACTTGAGCTGTACTCTTCGTCCCAACGAGTCCTTTTGGAAGTGCAGCAAATTGAGAGTTGTTGATGGGACGTGGTTGTGGTGAAGCCTCTGCATGTCCCTCTGCCGAGACTTCCTCTAGTTTAACGGAGAGTGATTCCTGTCCCACATTTGTTGCTTCTGTTGCAGCTGCTTTTTCTTCTCTTGTACGAGGTTTGGGTTTGGTCTGCCACTGCAAGTGGAAAGTATGTGCCCGTCCTCCCCACACTTGAAACAAAATCCAGGCCTGGGTCTCGTCGTGATGTTCGAAGACGCCTGAGGGGACTGTGATTTTGAGCGGGCCATGTTCTGCTTTGACAGTAGCACCGACATCTGCTGTTGTAGCTTCTGGACCTGCAGCTTCAGCTCATCAAGGGTGGTGGACGTTGGCTGGCCACAGACACACGCTTGCTGGGAATGGAGCTGGGCACGAGGTTTGACCGAGCCCATGTGTTTCCTCATTAGACTGTCTTTAGCCATCTGTCTGTCTTCCTCAGTTCTCAGTAACAATAACAGTTCAGCAAAAAGTGGAGGATTTCTCAGTCTCAGTTCAAGTTGTAGTTTCATAATTAATGCGTTATCCCAGCAGCCTCGGCAAAACTGCTTCAAGAGATGCTTGGCTGTATCTGCGTCTCGAACCCCGCCTCGCTTCACCACAGTGGTTAATGAAAGCTGTAACCGCTGCAGGTAAGTTGACGGTTTCTCTCCTGAGTCTTGTAAGGTATTTAGAAACTGGGCAAACAGTTCTTCCCCATCTTGAACAGCAGAAAAAGCGGAGTCCAATACTTGTAAGTATACTGCTGGGGGAGTGTCCGAGGACAGGCCTTTCACCACCTCCGCGGCAGGGGAGAGCAAACTGTCCAATAATCGTCTGGTGGTATGTAGAGGAGGCGCTGTGGGGTCCGCTAGCAATAACTCCGCATGCGATCTCCACGTTTCATAATCTGCCTCATTTCCAGGTTTGGGGATTCGGCCTGAAAATGGACGTAATCTCAATGAAGAATACATGTTTGGGGTTAAATCCTCTGTCCGCATGACGTGCTCCACTACT